ATAATAGTTTTGTAGGTTATTTATTGGATTAGTCGAAATAAATTTAGACGCGCAAGACTTTTCGACCACCCCACGTAGTCACGGTTTAATTTTGAATTTTAACTTCATTGTCTTTAATTTAATAGCTTGAATTATGACTAAGAATTTGGTGGTATATTTGCGCAAAAAAGTAGATTTTTGTAGAAATAAAAGGTGATCATTGATTGTAATATGACTTCTCTTCAAGCGAAATGAGCGTACATCGTGCACCGTCAGAGTCCACGCAGCCGCTGCATTTTGTGCTACAAATATTTCGTATTAAATTAACATCATTAAAAAGGAGAATTTCTATGTGCAAAAATCAAAGCCTTGAAAGAGGCTTACGACGAAACGCTGTATTATTTAATAATAAAATGAATTGGTCGAATTTATTCTACTCCTACCTATGGTACTGAACAAAACATCTTGAACTTGACTATTGCGCTTAGTTAAACGTTTAATCATTGTGCCCAAAGAGAAAAAATGTCAAAATTTGCGAAACATATGGGTAGGACAAATCTGTGGCGCTTGACCCTGAAAATAGTATGTGGCGTTATGTTCACCACTTTGTCCGGCTTTTGTGCAGCATGCTCCAATTAAAGAGATGCACTTTTCTCACTGACAGTCTTATATTGATACGACCATGGGTGGCGGTCCCCTAGAAGGAACAGATGATCCATTCGTAGCGGAAGCAGAGCGAACAGATATGGTGACGAACTATAACGAAAGGTTCTCAGACGGGCCGGAAATGGAGGAAAACGCCGAGAGTGACGGACAAACGGCAGAGGAAGCTACTGCGGATCAAATCGAGGTTTCTACACGACTGAAAACTATAACTGATCCAAATATGTTAAATGGATCTCTCAACGAGTCTTTTGGAGTTTCCAATGACTCGCCGTATAGCACCCCCGCCCCCTCTGGCGAGTTCAATAGTCATGAAACCGACGAGCACTCTCCCCCGCTTGCTGCTTTACAGACTCAGTACGCTCCTATACAGGATTCTACCTTTGAAGATAATTTGTCCTACGAGCAATCTATAATGAAGAGCGAAGCGGAAAAGAATCCGTTCGTCGGTCGGCTAGAGAGCATTGAAGAATTGATGAGGGAATACGAACATGGAAGTGACTCTTATCGTCAGAAGATACAAGTTCGTATGTTTTTATTGTAATTGCAGATTAGTCGACAGACCACCGGTCTTACTCTGTGGTATTCGTAGAAACTGGCTGAGAAACATGGTAAGATCAGGCGCTGTCGTGGTGACGGAAATTGTTTCTACCGAGGTAATTCATCTTACAGTGGAAAGATTTGCACATTCAGTATAAATATTCACCAGAATGCTACTACATATTGACAAAGATGTTAAGCACGTGATCTCATCCGTTCATAGCATTGGCTTTTGCTTGGTTTGAACGGCTTCTCCATTCCAGAAGTCATCATCTTATTCAAAAGGCACTTGACACGATCAAGTCGACTTCGGACCTTCTGATCTCGGCATCTTTCCAACAAGAGGTTATTGAGGATTTCTATGAAGGAGTTTACCAACTTTTGCAATCAATTTCAAAAGGAAATGTGAACGATGAGTCGTTATGGTCCATGTTTCAGGTCGGCATGACCTCTAATTGCATTGTATGGTACTTTAGAGCTGTTACCTCTGCATTTTTGAAGAAGAACAGAGAAGAGTTTGAGCCATTTCTAGAAGTAGATATGGACATGGATCAATACTGTGGAAAATTTGTGGAGGTTATGGACAAAGAAGCTGACCATATTCACGTTACAGTGTTGACTCGGGCATTGCAAATTCCCGTGGAAATCGCATATTTGAGCGGATCAAACGCATTAGAAGAAGTTAACTTCCATGAATTTTATCCGGAACCGGAAGAAAACAATGGTGTACCGACTGTTCCGTTGAAACCTTTAGTTTTGTTATATAGGCCGGGTCACTATGATATTTTATATCGAAACGAATGATCATCAAATGAACTCTTGAGTTGGAGTTTATCTTGATTTCGTGAACCCCACCTGTGATGAGAATTTTGATGTAACAACAGACGAAAGAAATACATTGATAATGAAAAGACCTAAATAAAGGCCTTCTATCAGGGAAAACTGGTATCCAGACGCGACTCTATGGTCTATACTCTAATTAAATTCCTGACTGTTTTCTCGTACGATTTACGCGTAACGTGGCCGAATCTGCGGGAACCCGTGTAAATCGCTTCTGCAATTAAGACCAAGTAGACAAGGAACCCTCTATACTACAATACTAATAACATTACACCTTCGCATTCACTATCTGCGGTCGGCATAGTACCAAGGAAGCCACATGTCAGTCGCACTTGTTATCTGCTTGCAATACCTTTTTAGTTACTGAATGGTATTTTTTTCTCTGATATGTCGAGTATAACTTGTCAGCTTTGCCAGTATGAATATAGAGCGCAGATTAACACAGGCCAATCAGAAGAGTGTGTTACTGTCTGAGGTTCAATGGGTTTGACGTCCACAAACAGTATTTAAGAGTATAATCAGATCAACATTTACGACTTATCCTTAGACCGAGCTGTTGGCTTATTATGCTTTAGGCATTTTATTTCTCTCTATGTATATATATTATGTACGCCGTACTTCCCACTTTGGGTAGATAGCTTTATCCACGCGCAGGTCGATTTCCTCCTTGCCCAGATTGTCCACCTTGACCTTCCTGACCTTCTTCAGGTGGTGCGTTGTTAAGCATCATTATAATGAGGAGAGGCAGGATGTATATCCTATAAAAATTTAAACGTTAATATGTGACTCTGTAATTAGTTATTCTTCTTCTGGAATTGACAGATCTTACCAATATTTCTGTATAAAACTCTTCTCTGGGGGTGGGCCGATAACTGTTCCATCCTCTGCTACTGGTACAGGTCCATGTAATTTAGGACTAAAGCCGAGTCAGTTTGGCATTCAATTGAGATTTAAAAATTGGATGATATAGACACGCTACTTACCGAGGACCAGGTATTGATTTAATTGTTTGTACTGTGGTCTTGAAGCGAGTATCATCCTATAAGGTATCATTAAATTGTTAGTCATAGCCCAATACCACAATCAATATAGCAATTATCAATTACCACTTCGGTTCCATTGCAATGGTCCACGGCCGTATAGTAGTCAAAATGATACAAATTATTCGAACTATCCAAGTGAATGATAATCTCATCTTCGAATTTAGATGACCATAGCAGACATAATTTTGTAAACGACAAATATGATTGTTCCGCGTTTTCGTTATCAACAATCTTTACGAAATAGATCTCATCTTCGCTTCCTTCACCCTTATTCACATACAAAGCATTCTTAGCATCAACATATTGGGCAACAGCCATAGAAGGGGTCACTCGAAGTTCACCTCTCTTCGAATATGCAGGCTGACTCGCTAGCTTATGATACACCGTATATTCATGTTCGTAGGGCTGTTAAATTGTCAATATTAACATGAATTCCTCATAAGCATTGAGTAATAACGAAATTTAGATAACCTTGGCATCGGTCTCTGCCTCCGCAAAGGGTATAATGGGGATCAAGAGAAGGCATACACATGAAGTTAAACTCCACAACAATCTGAAAATATTCATTTGCTCTTGAAAAAAAAAAATGCCTAGTGCTAGAAAGTCGTTTGTGGCGTTCAGAGTTTTCAGTGTTCACAAATCGGAGGCAAATTAGACTATGACAAAGACGTTAGTGAAATGTTAAGTGGCAAAGTGTGGTACCGTGACTAAGCCACACGGGCCACATGCAAGATTTTAATAATATAAAAAAGACAAGTTAATGACATTGAAATAGTTGAGGAAATTATTAAATTGGTGTCATCGCACGCTCGTTATATAGCAGTGTCGTTATATCGAGTTTCACTTGTATTAGATTTCATACATGATTTATATAAGTAGTCTTGCACTATTAAATTTGTAACATACATTCTTTACTATTATTAACCCCTGTCAATAATATGATCGTGTTTGGAGAAGCGGCAGGAATAACCCTGAAAAGAAGAATATTATTGACCTAATTAGATTAGGAATGTCTATGAAGTACTCTATTAACTTGACTCAAATGTTATTGGCAAAAATTTATCTAAAAACTGGTATCGGTATATGGGTGTCGGCATCAGTGATGAGTTTTGTCAAATTGCAAGAGAAATATATAAACTACAGTTATACCGATATTTTTGTGAAGCGGGGTATCGGCAGATCAGGGTTTTTCTTTTTTACCGATAATATGAATGATACGCAAAATATCGATTTATCGGGGTGTTAAATACAATAATTACGAATAAAACTGCCAATGGACAATGAGCCAACAAATTACTTCTCAAACTCCGAAGTTTAATAAGTGTGCTAAACCATATTGTCAACGTCTCTTCAATCTCAGGGTATTGCGGTTTACGTTCTCCTTTGCTTTTTTTGAATATCATTAGTCGCCAACCACTTGTCTCGTTTATTCCATATAACTAATACAATGTTTTACTTAATTCTGTATTGATACGCAACGGAAGTTTGTGTCGGAGCAGGTTTTGAGAAAGCAAAGCACAGATCTTTTTCTTCTGTGCATAACTCATTATAAAGGCTCACTTGCATTAAGATCAACCAATTAGAATGTTTGACTCTTCCAAATTTAGTAAGTGCAACACAAACATCGGTTAGAGAGGGATTTATTAGTAAAGACCATTGCATGTATCGGTATAAAGGTTATAACGGGGTTTATTATGATTATCGGTATAACGAGTAAAAATTCTTTTGGGAGTGGAAGTTATAGTAATAGTAGGTAGATTATTGGTATAACGGGTATTGGTACAACCTATGGATATTATGTCATACTTTTAACATATCTTAAAAAGTTACGATAAGCCGATGACCGGTGACGTCATATGTTCACTTTTGTTGCACCTCAAACGTAATGTTCAAATGCAATGTCTAACATTGATAATACATGCATATGGGCCTTTAAAAATCAAAAACGGCAATTCTTTCAAAGACGAAGCAACGTGACGCTTTACATTGTATTGTTTGACCGGCAACAATGCAATTGATACTCACAAACGCAATTCCCCGCTCAAAGATCCCCAATCGAAAAGCGAACATCGGGCATGTGATCAACAATCGTTGGCGATAATCATACTCCCAACAATCAGTACGGCGTAACGTACGGCAATTGCCCCACGTTTAATTTCCGGATCTCTCGAACCTTTCCTAACCATATAATAGTTTCCATAGCCATACGTACAAGCCTTAGTCAAGTTTGAAGTGCAGATACCAAGAACCATTACTTGAACTATTGTAGAATGATAAGAGGGTTTTCACGTCTACGGACTTCTGTAAAATCACATTCATTATATGTAGTGCTATTATATACAGTTTTCTTGGGAGCTGTGCTTGCAGCTTCTCCATCCGCACTCGAAAAAGAGGCTTTTATCAATTCGCTAATCCGTCCCAAAGCAGTATATTTGCCAACAACACGATCTACTGCTGATCTCGTCAAGAGAGGAGAAGAAAATTGCCAAGAGGAATGTCCTCCGTGCTTTGATTGCCATTTAGAAGCCTTTCCTTGCAAGCAATTCGGGAACTGCAGTGACTATGATGGGCGTTGTCAGTGTCCACCCGGTTTCGGTGGATTGGACTGCTCTAAGCCTTGTGAGTTGTTTTGTAGTCTATATATTGTTTAGAACAAACGCATATTCGAATTACTGTGTATGCTCATGTGAAATGTGAGGGACACTAATAAATTATGGATTGTAAATATGTTCTATTGCAAAATGCTCTATTATAATTCCTATTATTTCAAACAGTGTGTGGCTCATTAGCCGATGGAAAAAACCGGTTGCCACGAGAAGATGACCAATGCGTTTGTTCAGATGGCTGGGGTGGAATCAATTGCAATGGTAATTGCAAAGCATTTGTTATAACTGTATAATATTTAATACTCATTGATCTATGGTGCCATAGTATGTCAGTCAAATGAGGCATGTGATCCACTTGTTATCACTGGGCAGAATGGCACTTGTTATAAAGGTGGACTGACTGTTAATGAGAACTTCCAAATGTGTGACGTGACAAGTGAGTTGTTTAACGGAACTTGCTGTGGATACAACTTATTGCAATATATTATCATATTTAATAGTTAAATCTCCATACCAACATTATCAGATAGGAAAATTCTTGACATGTTGCCTAATCAACCTCCACAAGTTACGTTCTCCTGCAACAGAACCAACAATACGTGTGATTTCCAATGTAAGACTATTTCTCGATACTCACGCTCTATAATCGTTCGAGTCCTTTCATCGATGATATTAATATATTGCTTTCACGATAGTTTGGATCAATAGAACAGAATCATTCTATTGCCATCTTGATGAATGTGCATTTGAACAAGAAATTGGCTACAATAAGAATGTAACAGATTATTCATGCAAAAAGATAAAGTGCGAATGCATGATTGGAGAGATGCTCTGTGGGAAGGAAGGCAGTATTGGTAGGATGTCTTGCAACCACTTGGAACTTGGTTTGGAATATTTTTGTCAAAGATTAACTATTTCTTCACATATGATGATATTAGACCTGTCAGACTGGCTAGTTCAGGAGATCAAGGGCCCCGCTTCGTTCACGTGTGTCAATTCTGACGATTGTCGTTTTGATGGTATGTTAAAGAATTTACTTTGATGTTCGACCACCATAATCGCTGCGCCAATATTTTGAGCAAGTCTAATGAAAACGCGCAACGTGGAACCATATCATTCCTAGAACCTCAAATGAGTGAACTCATAAAGTCAGTATTCGCAGACAAATATATTACGCTTAGATGTTATAGTGGCGAATGTCTTCACTACACACAAGTGCCTGGATTTGTCGTAAGTCTTATTTGTCCCATCATAATGCAACATTCTATATCCTGGGGACCTGGCTAACATAAAATCCAAATTTAAGCGACCGGAAAAACCAAGAAATACGACGATAATCCTTGTTTCAGTAGTAGCAGTTATGGCGTTTGTCTTTGCAGTTTTTGGAGGTAACAGACGCTCATTCTTGAAATACATAACAATGTCATACACAGATCAATGTAAAATAACACTACGTTTAATGTTAGGCGTGTTCCGTTTATCGCGTAATTGGAGAGAATCCCATAATGGCTTTGTACAACTCCCCGATGATGAAGCAGGCAAACTTATGACTGACCATACGCCAGCTTCTCTATTATTCCAAAACGTGCGATATTCAATTGCAGATAAACAAGTGCTACAAGGTATACATGGGATGGTACAGCCTGGAGAAGTGATGGCCATCATGGGCGCATCTGGAGCAGGGAAGACATCATTTTTGGACATTTTAGCACGAAAGAATAAGGCTGGTACAATATCTGGCGAAATATATGTTAATGGACGTGTAGTCGAAGATAGCAAATTCAAGAGTCTTGTCGGGTATGCCAGATTGATTTTTAGTTTGACTATTTATATGATATTTGACCAATTTGCACTACTCTTTCTAGTTATGTTGATCAAGAAGATCATTTACTGCCTACATTGACCGTATACGAGACTATTTTATATTCTGCCCTGTTGAGATTGCCGCGGGAAATGTCATTGCAGGCCAAGAAATACAGAGTGTTGGAGACTATGAATGAGTTGGGAATATTGTCGATAAAAGATTCGAGAATAGGGGAAGCGGGTATGTGAAACTTTTCTATTTATTATCGTGCGATTCAGTTACGATTGTCGAGTAACCCAAGTTACTTGTCATCACAATAGGCGCTCGATCGATTTCCGGCGGAGAGAAACGTCGTGTTTCCATTGCATGTGAATTAGTAACTTCACCATCCATCCTATTCCTTGACGAACCGACATCTGGTCTTGACGCTTATAATGCATATAATGTTATCGAATGCCTTGTAACACTGGCAAGAAATTACAACCGTACAGTTATATGTACAATTCATCAGCCCAGAAGCAACATATTCATGTTGTTCGATCATTTGCTACTGCTTGCTGGAGGTTACATGGTTTACTCTGGTGAAGTGAAGGAATGCGCGGAATATTTTGAGAGTATTGGACATAAATGTCCGCCTGGCTTCAATCTAGCAGATTATCTAGGTAAGGTATCTCGAAGCTGTGGGTAAAATCCTGCGATTTGTATAAAATAAATGTTTATTCTGTTCTCATCACGATGTTCCATACGTTCTACATAACTCTTGCGCTATAATCAGTGGACTTGACGATGTACGCGGCCAAACCCGCAGAGGAAGAGGGGGGCGCAGAAGGTCACTCAACCTCGATTTCTGCAGATACACGAAATCAACCTGTTGAACTTCTGAACAGAAGCAATGGCAGGACGCCATCTCGTAGTCAGCCTCCAATCCACGATTTACAGGAATTACAACTCTACAGACCCCATCGGCAATCAAATAATAGTAGTAATCCAAACAGCGAAGAGCCCGTCTGGGAGACAGAGTTGAGGAATAGACCTCGACCAGCTAGACGTCCTACTGGATCCAGTACTGCCATAGATGTCGACTACGATGAGTTCGAGCATACAGACAACGAAAGGATAAGTGAGCATTTACTGACGCTTGTTAACGGCTATGCCAGAAGTTTGGTTGCACTTAGGATTAAAGATGAAATCAGCCAGGCAGTAAATAGGTATGCAAGTCAAGGGCTTATATAAAACGCCAGACAGCTATGTTAATAATACTCTTCATACTCAACAATGCTCTTTTACATTTCAGCAATGGTAACGAAGAACGGCCCTTAATAGCTTCCGCCCAAGAGACACAGACTATCACTTCCCATCGTAGAGCCTCATGGTTGACTCAGTTCAAAATCCTTTCTGATCGTACATTTAAGAACCTATATAGGAATCCTATGCTCATGTTCACTCACTACTGCATTAGTGTCTACTTGGCCTGTAAGTAAGATGCATTGAACGAACGTACGATCTTATGCGTCGCACTAATTTCTTGTTTTCCTTGTATCCAGTGCTCTGTGGTGCTTTGTTTTATCAAGTTACAAACGATATTGCGGGTTTCCAAAATCGAATGGGCGTACTTTTCTTCATGTGTGCCCTTTTCGGATTTGGTTGCTTGAGTTCGCTACATGTATTTTCCGAAGAAAGGATTTTGTTCGTAAAAGAACGGGCTAACGGATACTATGCTCCAATTACATACTTTGCATCCAAGGTAAGGTCTTGTTTACACGATGAATAATGATCCGCGCATATATCCAAACTGAGAAATTTTGTTTGTTTCAACGAAATACAATCAGGTGTTATTTGATATCATACCTCTACGTGTTGTGCCACCCATACTTATGGGAGTAATAATCTATCACATGGTTGGCCTTGTTGGCGGGACAGTGTCTTTTCTCAAATTCATCTTGGTATTGGTATTGTTCAACCTCACTGCAGCAAGCATTTGTCTGTGCATTGGCATCCTCTTCAAGGAAATCGGGGTTGCCAGTCTATTAAGCAGTCTGGTTATGTTATTCAGTATGCTGTTTGGTGGTTTGCTTCTTAACAAAGGTAAGTGTTGATTTGTAGCGGATCGATCTATTGATGGTGTAATCCTTAACATTATTTCCTTTATAGAATCTATTCCTGAATATTTGGCATGGCTCAAGGACCTTTCATTCTTCAATTATGCCTTTGAGGCTTTAATTGTCAATGAAGTTGCATATTTACAATTAACTGAAGAAAAGTTTGGTTTAACGATTGATGTATGTATTTTGTGTTGTTTTTTTTTTCAAACAATCTAGTTACTATTGTATATGACATTGACTTAACGGAAACATGCTTATATTCTTGCTAGGTTCCTGGCGCCACTATCTTGTCTACTTTTGGTTTTGATGCTGCAGCATACTGGGCAGATGTTATCAAATTGTCGGTTATGTTTACGTCATTCATCATACTTTCTTTTGTTTGTTTGCAACTATTTGTAAAGGAGAAGCGTTAATAATAGGTAGGACAGTCTTGAGAAGATACTTGTTTATGTTATTTCATCTGTAAAATTATACCCTTTTTTAGTAAATTAATAACTAAGTGATTAACCGCGTTTTCACATCAAAGATATTATGCCAATAATTTTGAAGTTGCAATATAGTGACCGAGATTGAATATTAATGTCAATAATTTGTTGCTTAATAATTTCGGCCGAAGAAATTGTCGTGATTATTTCTGTCTTTAGGATAAATATTGTTCGCTTCAGACCTTTTCGCTACGTTTTTATATTCAATTATTCGAGTCTTGAAGGCATTGCATTAACCATTTCACGGTTCAAGAGCAAAAAGCAGAAGAGACATTCACCTCGGTCGTCAGCGAGCCCTTATTGATCCATTTTCGGCGATGTTCGCCAGCAGCAAGAAGCGTGACGACAACGTCGCATTCGAACTCTATTGTGTGTCAGGCGACGGCGAGCACATTGCCGTGAGTAATATCATCGGAACGCTTCCAACGCCCTTGTTCGAATTGATGTACTGCTGGAGCATTCTCCGCGACAAGCAATAGACTCGTTCTCACCCGGTTTGTGAAAAAAGTCTAGAAAATTGCCCCAAATAAATTTTCATTTTAATCAGATTTCGTTTTAATCTTAATCTGTTACATTTATTATTTCTGGATATTTATTTGGGATCTCCTTTGTTTATTTATTTGTTGATTCAACAGTACATATTAATATGGTGTTTACCACTGAACGTAAGAATCTACATTAACATTAATCGACTATTGATATCTAATATGACAGCCGGGGTGGCTGCAACATATTCCGTAAAAGTAGCTTCCTTGACGACACAGGTAAGTTCATTCAATCCTTATCTTTACATACTGTATTGGTTGCCTACCCACGGTGATCCGAAATATAGCATCCTACATAATATAATCAATCTCAATCTCACGGTGTGCTTTTCCTTCATTCCCTTTCTCTCTCGCCCTTCCCATCCAATATCGAGAAGTTAGATCCCTCTTCCTATACACTATGACCTTTCACATCCTCCAGACGCAATCACAGACTATCCTCCACACCAGCGTCAACGTCATTTCGTCCCTCCGTTGGTAAGCGAACGCTCATGGAGCGTTGTCGAGTATGAAAATAATACCGATTCATACTCAAGTAATCGAAGAAACAACCGGGGTCATGTTCCCCAACTAAAGAAGAAAAGAATTGGAGCATCCTGGCTACAAACGAAGTTAAAGAAGGACAGATTAGAGACTATTTTAATGGCATCAGAAGTCATGGATCAAATCCACCTCCATATTCTTAAACGCCGTCATCCCAACAATTCCCACCCGCTTATCTCTCACTATACAACTATGCTCGCCACAACGCTTCTCTCGCTCCGTCGTCAGATCAGTCTCCACCATCGTATTTCCAGCACCAATTCCCGAGCCTGACTTCCCGCCTAGTCTAAGTGCCAAAGCATTCTTTGAAGTACGAAAGAAGACGGCCCGAGGATTTTGTTTGTAGATCCGAGAAGATCGAGAATTATGGAGTGAGTGGGAGTGAGATAGAAGGGGATGAAAATTGTACGCAGAGCCAAATAGTTGGGAAGAAGAGCCGCACGGGGGAGTATTGCCGCAGGTATCGTGGAGGTGGAAACGGTGTCGAAAGTGTGAACTGTTTGCCATTGCATAGTGGAAGTACATCACCCATCATTTATGTTCCATCCCCAGGATTGAGATTTAGCTCCGACTCACTATTTTTCGACATTGTTAAGTATAGATTACATTTACGTAAAATGATATTATAACAATATCTATCGCACATTCATGAATTAGGCTAGTTGAAAATTTAATCAATGTTCTTTATTATTATTGTTTAGATATAGTGAGCCTCGTATAGCTACAGTAACGTGCAAAAGTATCCTACCGGTTGTATCATCTAAACGTACATAATAATAACTCCTTAAATTTTCC